TGGTCTGCCCTCCTTTCTGAAAGTGGATAGAAAAGCTGTGGGGTGGGGGGGAAGAGAGGTAAAGACATCGCCCGTTTATTGAAAACAGTCCCATTGAGCTGCCACAGAAATCTGGTGTACAGCAAAATCTGAAGTGAGTCTCCTCACTCAACGAATCTGAGGGCTTTCAGAGGAACTGCAAGATCTTTTGATAGAGAAATGTCCAGGGGCAGGGTGGGGTCCAGTGTTCCCTCTCAGCTGAGTTAGTGTGAGCTATCTCACAGTTTTTAGCCTCCGGCTCACACATTTTTGTCTTCACCCAGGAAGGAGGGCTCCAGAGCAAACTAATTGATGCAGTAGCCAAATCGCTCACTCACAACTTTAATGCCAGGAGCTCACCAAGTAGAATTTTTGCTCACAAGACTCCACAGCTTAGAGGGAGCATTGCTCCAGAGCAAACTAATTGATGCAGTAGCCAAATCGCTCGCTCACAACTCTAATGCCGGTAGCTCACCAAGTAGAATTTTTGCTCACAAGACTCCACAGCTTAGAGGGAGCATTGCTCCAGAGCAAACTAATTGATGCAGTGGCCAAATCGCTTGCTCACAACTTTAATGCCAGTCGCTCACCAAGTAGAATTTTCGCTCACAAGACTCCACAGCTGAGAGGGAGCATTGCTCCAGAGCAAATTGATTTATGCAGCAGCCAAATCACTCGCTCACAACTTTAATGCCAGGAGCTCACCTAGTAGAATTTTCGCTCACAAGACTCCACAGCTTAGAGGGAGAACTGGTGGGGTCCGTATATCCCTAAGCCAGATCCGAGTCCAGAAGCGCCTTTGAGACCAACAAGATTTTTGGGGTACAAGTTTTTGAGAGTCAAATCTCCCTTCATCAGAGACCCTGTCCCTAAACCATAACTGAATATTGCCTGAAGTGAATTTTAGTGCAATTTGGTGGTCTCAAACTTAGGCGAAACTTCTCTGGGACTTTTGAAGAACGTTCACAAGGCTTTGTAGAAGGCTAGTGACATTTCTGGAAATGGTGTGTGTCATGGGTGAACAGAACTAGGAACGTAAAACCCCCCACCACCACCAATGTTCCCTCTAAACTGTGGAGTCTTGTGAGCAAAGATTCTATTTTGTGAGCTACCGGCATTAAAGTTGTGAGCAAGTGATTTGGCTACTGCATAAATTAGTCTGCTCTGGAGCCCTCCTTCCTGAGCCACGGCAAAAATGTCTGAGCTGGAGGCTAAAAAACTGTGAGCTGGCTCACACTAACTCAGCTTAGAGGGAACACTGCCCCCCACACACACACACTGTGCTGAGACCGACTATTCCTCAGATGAGGAAGAGGCACCTTTACCAGCACCTGAGGGAGAAGAGGCCCCAGCATCTGCACAGGAGGTGCAGCAAGGCGAAGAGCCTGAGGTGCAGTCAGAGGGAGAGCCTGGTGCAGAGCCTGGTCCAGCACCCCCAGTTGGAGACACCTCAAGGCCAGAGTCCCCACCTAGCTCACCTGAATGTCCCAGATGCAGGGCACGCCAGCATCTGGAAGTGTGGGAGAGACGGAGGAGTGCCAGACTTCAGCTGTTGCAAAGGCAACGTGAAGGGCTGTGAGTCTTTGTAGGTTGCCTCCCAGGGAAGGGAGGGTCCAGTTATAAGCAGCCATGCTAACCTGCCTCGGTGCGGATGCAACTGTGAAATCTTGGACCTTGTTCCAGCTGCCAGCCTCCACTGATCGCTCCTGAGAACTCTGATTGATCTCCCAGCATTCCGACCACTGGCACTGTTTCTCAGCTTGGCTGGGACTTTGCACCTAGCTTAGTATATTGTATTTGAGGCGACTGACCAGAGTGTGTTTGTGTGGGGGAGAGGGGATTTCATGTTCCTAGTTCTGTTCACTTTTATCCATTTTATCCCATCTTTCCCCAAGGGCCTCAGGGCAGTGAATACACTTCTTATCACCTCTGCCACCATTTTGTTCTCACAACATCTCAACGAGTTAAGTTGAGAGAGAGTAATTCATGCAGTGAGCCGCATGGGAACTTGAACCCCAGGCTCCCACATCATTGTTAACTAATAGATACATCATATTAGTTCTCCACCCTCATAATGTTTTACCCCATTTTATATAGCTGTTAGGGTTTACTTCTTTATGCAGAGAGTGATTAAAATGTGGAATTCGCTGCCAGAGGATGTGGTGATGGCCACAGAAATAAACAGCTTTAAAAGGGGGCTAGAATAGATTCAAGGAGGATAGGTCTATCAGCGGCTACTAGCCACTGTGACTGAGGGGAACCTCCACATTCAGAGGCACTAATTGTCTCAATCTCAGAGCCAGGAGGCAATACTAGGGGAAGGCCTCGGCCTCTATGCCCTGTTGTTGACCGTTCAGAGGAACTGGTTGGCCACTGTGTGAGACAGGATGCTGGACTAGATGAATCATTGGTCTGATCCAGCAGGGCTCCTCTGATGTTCTTATGACTTGAATCTGAAGAATGAGCTAATAGTAGTCCAAGGCCTTAGGCACCTGCAGTGGCATTTTTTTCACCTGAGCAGCAGACCCTCTGTTCCACAAAACTTTTAGGAGCACTGGTCAGTATTTATATCCCAGCCCAGCCCGTCCTTCAAGGTATTATGCTTAGGGGTAACCCATTTTACCCTCACCACAACCCTATGTGATGTGTGGCTAAGAAATCATAGCTTTGCCAACTCTATCCAGCGAGTTTCTTCCCAGTGAAAGTCCAGCACTATCCATTGTACCTCACTGGCTCGACATGCTATGTGTAGAATCCATACACCTGTGAAGAGGCCAGGTACCATCTTCGGATTATCCGGTGGCCAAATGGTAATGGTCCTGACTTGGATAGCCCAGCCTAGCCTGATCTTGTCAGATCTTGGAAACTAAGCTGGGTCGCCCCTAGTTAGTACTTGGATGGGAGACTGCCACAGGAAGTGGTGGCGGCTACAAGCATGGACGGCTTCAAAAGGGAATTAGATAAGCATATGGCGCAGAAGTCCATAAGTGGCTATGAGCCACAAGGTATAGATAGGGACTCTGGGGCAAGTGATGCTCTGTCATCTTGGTGCTTTGGGGGGTCAACAGTGGGATGGCTTCTAATGTCCTGTCCCCACTGGTGGACCTCCTGATGGCACCTGGTATTTCTGGCCACTGTGTGATACAGAGTGTTGGACTGGATGGGCCTTTGGCCTGATCCAACATTGGCATCTCTTATGTTCTTATGAGACCACCAAAGAAGTTCAGGTTTGCTACGCAGAGGCAGGCAATGGCAAACCTCCTCTATTCGTCTCTTGCCTTGAAAACCCTTTGGGGTCACCATAAATTAGCTGCGACTTGGTGGGGAAAAAATTGGTAAGGAAAAGAGGGAACATTGCATTTGTGAGAAATGGAGGATTTCGTCTCACCGGATCCGCCAGTGTTGTTGTTGTAAACAGTGCATAACAGATACTGAAAAATATATAAACTCTCAATGTCTGGTATGTATATATTTTGGGAAAGTGTTAACATTTCCCTCTTTTCTTTAAGATCAAACTGCCATCTGAAGTAGACAAGTTACTCAACATGCTGTTGGATGTTGTATCTAACGTCAGCTCCCTTCTAAATAAAGCCCAGCGTATCTTTGAAAATCTTCCCGCATTCCTTCAGACATTGAAAAGCACATCTATGCTTGATATCTCTTCTTTTCAATCGGTATGTACATGATCTTTCCATCCTTAGGTTTCTTGTTAATGTTCAAGACTAATTTTGATCCAGGTCTTGCTTAAGGATGCATGCATAAAGAATCTTTCTGAACAAACATATGTAATGTATTCCTGACTATTGGATGATGTTGAAAAATGTTTCAGTGGTGCCTCTTTCTTCTGGGAAAATACATTTGAATCTGTTGCATCCTGTCCTTTCTGGTATTTTGGCTAGAGGACAGTGGTGGATCTACATTTTTGGGACCCTGAAGCCTGAACTGTTATGGGGGCCCCCAAGAAAATTTTGAAATTTGACCAATTACTGGGACATTTTGTGACCATATGAAATGGGTGTTAGAGCATATTCTAAGGTCAATATTAAGTACCTCAAACCTTTGGCTTATGATTCTGTCACTAAATTAGCCTTATTTTAATAACAAACACTTTTTAAAATTCCATCTATTTTGTTGAAAAAATCACTCATTTAAAAAAAAGAAAGAAAGAAATAGCGTCCCTTGCAGGATTAGGGGCCCGAAAAAAAAAGCTTCATTAGTTTCATAGTAAATCCACCCCTGCGTCACTTCCCATGTTTAAAAAGATGTATGAGTGCCTAATGAGATCCCACAGAAGCATCATGTGATACAGTGATAGTTGGACTGTGCTAGCTCAGATTGTAGCAGGCAGAACACATCATTTGAGCACTCTTCCATAGATAGGTGGAATGCATAAATAGGTGGAAGGTGAGAATCCTTTCATGGACAAAAACGTTTTGGTGTAGGAGTACATTCAGTGCTGAAATAGCTTACCTGCAGACTGGAGTAGGGATGGACACAAACTAGCTCCCAAACTTAAGTTCATGAGGAATTTTGGCTGGTTCATGGTTCGCAAACCAAAGTTCGCAAACCAAAGTTTGTGAACTTAAGAGCCGTCACAAACTTCCATGAATTTTAAGGCAATTCATGATGGTTCATGGAGAGCAGAAAGCAGGGGAATAAATGGCTCCAAGCCATTTAACCCCCTGGTGGAGAGCAGAAAGCAGGGGGATAAATTGGCTCCAAGCCATTTAACTCCCTGCGTTCTGTTACCCGTCACTTTTGGCAGGGAGCATAAAGAAGGGTTTAACCCCCCTGCTGGCTGCTCCTCACTGCTTTTTTGGGGATAACCCCTGCTTTCTGCTCCCTGTGAAAAGTGGTAGGGAGCAGAAAGCAAGGGTCATGAATTGCTACGAACTGGTTTGATCTGCAAACCAACTTCCTGGTTCATATCGGTTTGTAGTTCGGTTCATGGTTCAACCATGAACTGAAAAGAACCACAAAAATGTGGTTCTTGCCCATCCCTACAAAGAGGGTATGTTTCCAGGAAGGTGGGCAGCACATGGTTTTCCTGCTTGTGCAGTTCAGCTCTGAAAACAGACGGGTGGAACTGCAGTATTCCCATTGGTTCTGTTTTCTCCACACACCCTTTTGTAAACACTTACTTTCTAAAGTGTCATGTGCAGTCTGACGGCTCTGTATAAATGAATAATAACGATAACACGTTTTGTCTTGGAAAGCTTTATATAGGACATAATCTTTGCAAATAGCTTTGCGGTTACTTATTTTTACTCCAGGATAGATCTGCATATTACAGTTCTGATACTGCATAATAACGGCTGTGCCTCACAAGAGTACACATGGGTCATTGACAAGTAGGATTATCAAATGGCCAGGCAATTTTAGGTTGGGAGGGATGCTATTTGGTCCGTTGCCTAAAAAACAAAGCAAAGGCTGAGTTCAGACTGGCAGTTTGAAGCGCGAGGGAGTCGTGGCAAAAAAGACCCGGAACAACTTGTTCTGGGTATTCCCGGTCACACTGCACCGACTGATGTGGGAGCATGCCAGGGAGGAGGCGCAAGGGAGTGTTCGCACTGTTGGCCCGCCCCTGGTGGAGGCACCACTGTCAGTGGCTTTTTCTCACTCCGGTGACATGTGCATATGCCCATAGGTGCATCCAGGGGTCATTTCGTAGAAAAAGAGGTGCAGGAGCTCATTAGCATAACTCATTAGCATGACTTATTTGCATATGCCACACCCCATGACATCACCAGAAGTGTGTCAGAAGGGAACACCCACCGCTCAGGCTCCACTGGACTGTTTTGGATTGCTAGCTATTGGGGGGGGGGAACGTGCAGATCTGTCCTCACAGAGGAGGGAGAGCTTGTACCTGAATAAAACTTGGTCTTAAAGGTGCCACTGGACTGTTTTGGACCAGGGGCCTGGGAGGGGAGCT